GTGTGTCGGTGGTGTGTCGGTAGTGTGTCGGTGGTTTGTCGGTAGTCTGTCGACCGACGGGTTGGCCAACGCGTTGGTTGGATCGGATTCTTTACCTTTACCTCCGCCATCGAGTAGAGAAGTACAGCTGTAAACTGGAAAAAATAATGTTATGAATTTTGCTAGTAACGGCTCAATAAAGGACTCCTCCTGTGGAAGAACAAGTGGCGATAAGTAAGTAACCTTAGTTTAATTGTTTGATTTCTGCTGATTTGCAGACTGAAGACAAGTTTGATTACTTCGTCAACTGCATGTATTGCCCAACAGAAAATCAGTTGTACTTTGTGGGAGGCACAAACAGGTGTGTATGCCAGATTGTTATCTACTCTACCCTAATCACAGGTTACTTGTGTTCTACTGCTGTCTGTTGAGCCCGCGAGCAGGCTCTCGTGTTTGTGAGTCGGTGTTATTTTCTTATGAGGGACGGTAAACAATACACCGAGCATGTCAAGGCAAGAGCTCATCTTCTCCTCTCAGTTGAGAGGTTGGTTTTTTAGACAGTCGCCTTTAGGTTTTGATATTATGTCCTCTTTGTTTCCCTTAGTGGCCGCCTTCATGTGTTTCATGTCAAAGATTCTGAGCTGGAGCCGGTTTGCCCTCTAATGGGAGGACACACTTCCATCGTCAGATGTCTTCAGTGGGATTACAAAGTTAGTCTTTACAGAAGCACCGATGAGGAATTGTACGCCGCTAAAATGCACAAAATCTTTTAAGGGAACAAGGTTTACCCTCTCTTATCTCTGCCTCTTCGCAAACTGTGTTATTGATTTCCTCTTCCTCCTTCTCCACCCTTCTCCCCCTTTCCCTCAATGAACGTTGTTGCTTTCATTGTGAAATTTAGTGTTAAAGGAATGAAACCGAGAAATAATATTGATAAAAGGGGAGAAGGAGGAGTGGATGTTCCCGACGAGGGTTCAAACTCATAGTCTCCCGGTATTGAGCTTGACCCTCTTCGAATCTTGTAGGGAATTTGCAACAGCAACGGTCAGTGAAAGCAAGACTATGAAATGCTTGAGGCGAGGAGGGGGAGGGGGGTGCCTCATTCAGGAGCAGGGGCAGCAGCAATACGCCCTGTCCATTCGAACTTTGATACAGCGATATGGTCTGACTTTGCGAGTGAGTTTTCTAATTAAGTATAACCTTCAAGTTGCTGTGCTTTTTAATCATGTGTGTGGGTTTCTTTTTTTCTCTTTTTTTTTTTTTCGTTTATAGTCTGAGACCCTATTGACTGGTGGGGAAGATTCTATAATTTCCTGTTGGAGGTCTGTAAGGCCTCAGACGAGCGCAGCTGGCAAGGTGGGTGGATTATTCAATAGTCCATTTTACAGTTGTGGGCTTGGTGGCCAAGCCTTTGAACAGGAGTGAGGTTAAGGGTGCCCTTGTTATGATACAGATGTTGCTGCTTTTCAAATGGAAATTTCTTTGTTATTATGCTAACTATCACAACAATGTCACCCTTAGCCTCCCATCAAATCAAAGGCCTGGCAACTAAGTACACAACTATAAAATGGTCTATTTGTCTTTCCTGATGTGAAGAAAAAGAACAATTTCGTTACAGGAGTTAGTTATATTGTATTGACTTGAACAGGGTAACGAGGATATGCCGACCTAAACTCGTCAAATGGTGGCTAGACATAAAAATTTTAATCAAGCATACGACGACCTAAACTCGTCAAATGGTGGCTAGACATAAGAATTTTAATCGAGCATATGACGTCCTAAACTCGTCAAATGGTGGGTAGACATAAAAATTTCAATCGCCAAAGAATAAATAAAAAAAAAAACGTAAAATGACGTTTCTTGATTATTTGTTAAATCGCCACGAATGCGACCTCCACAAATTTGCAGTCTTATATTCGCAGGTGTACGAAACACCGAGATTTATCTACGAAACCACCGGATTTATGGTCCACGCGCGAGCGCTGTAAATCTGAGCGAAAAAAAGTGAGGTTCCGTAACTTACAGTACAGACTGAGAAAATTTGATTAGTAAGACATTTGTTTTATCTCTGGGTTCAATTAAAGGGAGAAGATCTCAATTTAAACAAACTTTTGAATTTAGCGGGCCGCATAGTGAAATACCAGGGCTCGACGCTAACGGTAGCCAACTAGCCACAGACTAGTAGAAATTCAGTTTTGGCCAATGGTTTTCGATTTCCAATTGCCAGTTTGGTTAGTAGACAAACTGAAATTGTTGTAACAGCTAACTTGTCACCAGCCACCTGGCTAGTAAGTTAAAAAGTTATTGTGGAGCCTAAGGTCCGCTAAATTGACCAATGAGAGCGCTCGCTCCAACTGAGAGATTATCGGTAAGAAATCTTTCAGAGAAAAATAGGTATTCAAATCGTAGAAGTAAATCATGATCTTCTAGGACACGTTTTTGTTTATATTACCGTGGTTTTTTCTGTGGATTTCTGTATCCTGCCCTTTGGTTTTGACACGATTAACATAACGTGCCTATCCTTATTAAATGTTTTTTTCTATTTTATTGGCGATTGACATGTAATTATCAATTTTGAGAGCTTTCCTTGTTTGTCTGGCACTGAGACTCAAAATCCATGTACTTCTTTGAAATGAATCATGACGCAAAGCCTTGCATTAGGAAGTCCTTATTTGAGCTAAGGGTCAGATATAGGATTTTAAATATAATCTGTAGAAGAACGCCTGGAATATTTAGATAGTCCAGATTGCGGATCGAGGAAGGAGATTGACCCCGGAAAGAGGGGCCAACGGTGACTTCAATTTGCTATTATTTTAAGTGGTAATGCTTCAGAATTCTGCCACAATATATCTTGACTTCTAAGTGATAATCTAATGTTCCTTCCCACTTATATTGTGAATGACGATCTTTGAATTTTTGGATTTCCCTTTTGCGTTGGTTTGTTAATACGGGAAGTTTTAGAACGCTAAAGAATTTCAATTCTTGGAAAGGTTTTACTTGCGTCTAAGGGCAAAGATGAACAGTTTTTGCGATAAATTTCCGCTCAGCAAGCCGCTTCGGTTTTGCTTTTTCTTGAATATGATCCAATATCTGCGCTATTTTTAAATTTTAGAGCATTAGAAAAATCTTAAACAAATATCCTTTATATACAGTTGAGCACGTACTTTCATTAGAAATTTCCTAAACAAATACCCTTCGTATACACGGAAGTTGAGCACATACTTCCAAATGCTTTGGTTTTCTTAGCATATGTTTTCTTGAAAAATGGCCAAAACTATTGAGTCATTACTGCGCAAATGTTCTACCAGTTCATCCTACACTGGTTCGTTGTTCAGGATAAAATAATTGCCTTACCATTCTAGATGTCGACGCTTTACAACGTTATTTGATCGCAAATTGACACAAGTCCTTTTTCTCGAGAATTATCCTGATTTTCCAAGTTCGTTTTCTAAATCCAAGACAGTCTTCTCCACTCGAAACCATCCTAGTTTCTTTTGGGCTGTTTTTACCTCCACATGACATTTCCATTTATTTAATGGCTATTTCCTAAGAACGTAAATCGTTTGGAGAATGCAGTTACTGTAACGGTATTTATGCAATAAGTGATTTCTCGTACGATACAAATTTCTTCCGCTTGTCTTTTGGAAAGACAATAAATGTTCCCGTTATTCTCAAGCGGTCCTGCTGGTTAGTGAGAGCTTCCTAAGTGAGCCAGAGGGCCTTACTGCAAGAATCATCGGCCCGGCGGGTCGCAATTCTTCGGGTCCGAGGTGATTAAATGGTATTGACACTTATACCCTCTAGAGTTAAACGACAAATTATTGAAAAATAATCTTCCACGCGTTTCGCAATTTTGATATCATTATTTTGCCCTTACCGAGTTTCGCGGGATCATAAGGAGCAATACCTGGTCTGATACCGGGAACACATCTAAATCTAAACACATCACGTGATCGAATATGCCCCAGCTAGAACTGGGTAATATCCGAAGATATACCCCAAGTGATATTCGCCAGTTTTCAAACCTTACGTCCTTACGATAAAAGCCTTCGTTTGAAACTTTATGCTAGATGAGAGAGCGTTTAGCGTTTGTTCCAGAAGAAGAGACATGTTTGTTCATAAAGTTGTACCCAGAGAACACTAAAGTAAATATCCCACACGCAGCAAACAGTAAATTGTTCGTAAACATTGTGCCCGCGCGTTGCAAAAATATTATAAGGATAATAAACGCAACAGCCTCCATTCGTGCGCAAAAGCATGCTTGTATATTTTCCCTTTGACATTATCTCTTCCTCGAAGCTCACAATTTTCCTCGAGCTTTGCATCTCGGAACAGATTATGTCCACAGACAAATCTGCGTACGTATTTTCGTGCCAAATGCTATTGTTTATTTATAACCTAAATGTCAAAATTATCGGCTGATATCTCCGTCGCTTTAGTTGTAGTTTTTTTTTTTTTTAATATTAAAGACTCGTAATGCTTTTTATAACACGCTATTTATAACTATATTAACCCTTATGCCGCTTAACTTGTTAGTCAGTTATTTTTTTTCTTTGTCTTTACTGTTAAAATTTTTGGAGGAAGGTTCTGTACGGGTTGACAAAAAAGGTTACACCCACTAACACCGTTATCGCTGTTTTCATTCCTGTTTTACTGCATCATCTTAAATAATTTTTTTAATTCATTCATCGTTATGCTGGTGGATAGTAAGACTATTAACTGCTTGGTAACTCGAGAATTCCCTTAAAGTAGTACTTTGAATATTTTACCGGCTGCTTTGTTGTCTTAACCTTGGCTTTCAAACTAAATCGAACTTAGCTCAAGGTCGTGCCAAATGATACGTAATTGCATTAACTGATTACACATATTTTGCATATATGCGCTTACCGCTGTTTATGTTGGAGTCAGACGACAAGATCGACGAAATGTTTAGATCTATTAACACCGGAAGGAAACAATGAAAAGCACTAACAAGTCGAGTTTCCTTTGACGTTTTTCCTTTACAGGCTGAGTCAGGCATGAGGGAAAAATTAAAAGCACACGGAAACAAGCCTTACGAGAAACCGACCAGTGACGTGAAGGAGACGTAACCGCGCGTAGTCTGTTGGCAGCGCTCGACAGCGCTTCAGAAGCTGTTTAGGCAAATACCGTCTGGGTGGACACATCACTCCGAGGACGAAATAATTAGGGACATTCGAAACTGCTGAGCACTTAATACCACCATTTCGAGTTTGTCTTTCGAGATCCGTGCCAATCTTCTCCATGCCTAACCATCGGGGTCATTCCATTTTATTTATTTTTACCTCTTTGCTCTTTATCTACACTAGCAAAGGCTTATATTAATATTTTAGATTAACTTCATTACGATAGCTTGATGTCAGTATATTTTTGAAACGTCAAAGTTAGCTTGATAGAAATAGGAAGAACTCCAAAGAGAATTCCAATGATAGTGATAAACTCTGGTTAATAACCTCTGAATTAGTAAGAGTCAATCATACGATAATCAGTATGGATGAAAACGGAGAAGGTTGAAACAGATTACCAAAGACGACTTTGAAGAATTAAGGATAACTTTATTTAAGGTACCCCAGCCGTGAAAACAGCTCCCTTGAGGATTTCATTTATTTGAGGGTACTTGTCTAAGACGCCAATATGGCTCGAAATTTTTCCGGGATCGTTTCTAGGTTTACCTCAGACGGAAACTTTTGCGCGGTTTTCTTTTTAAGCATCAGACAGTTTATTTTAAGACCCGAAATATAAGAATTCATGGTTGCATGTTGGCTGCCGGAAATGGATAACGGCGTGCGTGGGAAGCCGGCGAGAATTATGTAACAGACTCGCGAAAGGGTGTGGAAAGATAGAATAAACGGTGACCACCCAGAACCATGCTGACACTGCAGGGACATACCAGGACTAAAACTGAGAGAGACAGTTTTGATCAGCTTGCCCGCTGCGCCTCCCTTCGAATTAAGTAATTATATTTGATATTATCATTTCCACGTGCCGCTATTTTTGCCACCCATGCGTTACGTTATCTGCGGTAGCTTCTAGTTAGCCCACTATATGTTGGCATCAATTACTCATTCTCTAGAGCTCTTTAACGTCAGGGAGTGACTAGCGTCTAATTTGTCATACATTATTGCTGGTGAATCAAACATTTAAGTCACGAGAATAAAGAAATGATCAACATCTGAAGATGCTATCGATTGTTAACTATAACATAAAGAATATAGTATCGTCTAATTGGTCAATTCAGTTTCCAAGCGGACGCTTCATCAGGTTATAGAGCCTGAATGTGACTAGTTATGTCATAAAAGCAATAGAGCGCATTTTTCCGGGCTCTATAACGTGATAAAGCCACTTGGAATGTTGGGAGAACACTCGGAGAGCTTGTAACATCCCGTGTCAGGGCTCTAACGCGTTATAGAGCCCGGGAAAATGTGTTCTATTGCTTAAATGAATTTTCCTTGTTGGTACCTAGGAAATGAATAGAGAACAATGAGGGTGTAAAGGGCACGAGTCCTCTTCGCGGACAGTTGTCGTGACGATTCGAGTATGGTAGCGTTCTATTGTGTTACAAGGCAACAACTGGAACTGAGAGGCGTGCAGTTTGTACCCAATCGATAGTTAAATTCATCCATTAACTGAAAAAGTGCTGGCAACACTGCCATTTGATCGAGTATTTGTTAGAGGCTTCGAAGTCTGATTGGTTGTTTTGTTTCACTGTTTCAATCTGCGAGTTAGAGCAAGAAATAGTGCAATTCGTAAATAAATCGCACTCCTGTGAGCCAGTCAGACTGCAAGGTAAACCAGTAATTTCAATGTGGCTGAAGAAAAGAGTTCAAGCCACGTAGGTCATGGCGAAATGCTACAGCTATAATTTCTGTACATCTAACACGTTTATAGATAGTCGAACACTTTCACTGAAGATGTTTTACCAAGGAATACTTAGTCACTGCCACGAAAGTGCTCTCAGAACTCTAAGGTCTCACCATTCACAGTTGATATCTCCCCACTGACAGAAAGTAACCACGCCTGTTGTTACGTGATTTTTAGCTGATGGAATAATTTACAACAAATGACAAATTTTAAAATAAACTTAACAAATTAATGTGATGTCATCAAGCTTTCTTCAGTATTAAAATGCATTCATAGTAAAATATCCACCCCTCGCACTATTGAGTAGCGCAAGGCGCAACCTATTCCATAGAAGGGGTCTAGTTTCGGATCGAACACTTGTAATTAGCAAGTCAAAGTTAGAGGAGATATGGGAAAGCGAGTTCGTGTCGTAGCGAAGATACCTCAGTACCTATCTTCAGAAAAAAACTAACAAGAACAGACTATTTACCCAGTAAAGCGGTGCACTCCTACTGTTCGTTTGAAACTACCCCATTTGCGGAAAGCTCTGCCAAATTGTGTACTGCCTGCACTATTGTAAGTCGCCACTACGTGCAACGTGTGTTGGAAGAACTGATAAGTACTTCTACTATAAATTAAAAACATAGTAACATTTTTAAGTTTGCAAAACATGTTTCGACATTACTCGTTTCATCTTTGCTCACTGGACCATCCTCTTCTCAAGTGTAATGTTAGATACAACTGTAAAATCGTATGAAATTGTAGGGTTCCATAGTTCAACTAGAACAGGAAACGACTCAGTATTCACATACGTCAGAGATAATAAGGTAAAATTTATAGATAATTGGCTAATCATAGGTGATAACTACTCTTGGACTGGTGAAACACCTTTCTTTTCACTCCGCATTTTCAAACGAGTACAGAGTAAGTCGTTAAATTTACAAAGTCACATAAAGAAAGGCGGAAAGCTACTTTGAATAAATATTATTGCTACTACCACTACTACTAGTAGTAGTCGTGCTTCCGTCAATACTACCACAGCTACTACTACTATTGTTCTTATTATCCTGACAACTATTTTTTTTTTTTTTTTGATCGCGTCACTAAAGGAGCATTATGCTTGGCTGTGATTGGCTGGTTTTAAACAGATGTGATTGCGCGCATATCCGAGATCTGCTCTCTCAGTTCCTTTATCGTGAGCATCCAAGCTTCTGGAGTTTCTTTTCCACTGTCCTTTTTTGAAGAAAGCTGGGGTGAGGTCTAATGAGCATCGCATCTTCTACGAAGCTTGTGTAACAGCGAGAATCAAGATCATTAAACGTCCCAGTGCGGGGCGGTGATTTGTGAACACCCTTTTTACTGTAAAGAAAGCATTTCTGAAATATTTTTAAAGCAAAAATTCAATTGGAATAAATGCTATAGAAGTATTTATAGTATTATCATCACAACCGAAAGTAACATTAGAATCCACGAGACAATAGACAAAGGTTGCGCCACCGAGCGGGAAAATGCGAATGGCGATTGGTTGCTTCAGATGGAAGTTTCGATCACAAATCGCAAAAATATGAATTATTTGTGAAAATTTTTTTCATTTTAAAAACCACAGAAGCACCACTGACGCCGATAGCTATCGTTGCATAAGTAGTGGTATACTGTAATAGTTGCCAAAACCACCGCTGATAACACGATAGTATGACGCACGCCTTCTATTTCCGATGCCAAACCAATTTTTAAAATCGTCCGTTTCGTTTTTCACCGGAATGATAACAATAATAATAACCTTCCGACCTTACCGGTAAATGCCTCAAGCAAGAAACTAAGCCACCTACAATTTTTCTCCTTTATCGATATAACTCCACTAAAAGACGCTAATGCGATCGAGGAAACAGAGAAAACCTCACAGCAAAAGCAATGTGGTCAAATCACTTTCAGTGACTGGGTCATTTTAACGAAATTAAAATCACTTCTTTGTGCCTTCTTTAGAAAGATATTATTAGTCACGTTTTTCGATGAACAACCAGCCGAAAGTTGTTTTTACTAAGAAAAAAAAAGAATTCAAGAAAATACGTTCCTGACCGAATGCCAAAAGCGTTTCAAAGCACGTAAAAATTTGACAGGTTTTAGAAACGGATGCAGAACTCGGCAACCTTTATTCAAGAATGACCTTCCAAGTACAAACCCGCCAACAATATTTTCTACCCGTTTGGCGACAACTGTCGGCCACAAACGGATCTTTGCACTTAGAATATATATTCAATTATTAAAGAATGAATATAGCTGGCGTCCTAACTTCTGTCAGACTATGAATAGTTGTGAACCACCTACTTGGATCGACGAAACAACTGAGGCATGAAAAACAAAAAAAAAATAGATTGTTTGTGGAAATGAAGATACCTCTCAGGAATAAAACAGGATTCAGATGAGAAATAAGATTACAGATTACAATACTACGAGTGAACTTTGAGTTCAGAGTTTAAAATACAAAAAAAAAAAAAATTAAAAGAAAAAAACCAAACAAATCACAACACTAAAAGACACTATCATGAAGCGCTGCGTTTATCGTCGTAACTTTTATTCTTAAGACTAACCTTACCACCACCTTAGAGAACAAAGTGCAAAAAAAAAAAAAAAATTGAATTTCGTTGTTTTCTTTTAAATTTTAAGCTAGTATTTTTTTGCCTCCAAGAAAGGCAGAAATGCTGAGCCCGCCTATCTAATAAGAAAACATCAGGTAACAAGAAGTTTCCATTTCTTCCAAATAGACTGACTCTTAAACCATAAATTGCCGGCCCACACCACGCACTGAAATTGAAAAAAAACTAATGACAGAGTACAAAGGGAGAGTCAAGACTGGCGGCTTCGTTATCGTGCAAACTTTTTGATCCATCATTTAAAAAAAAAAACCTGGTTGAAAAAAAAATCTTTGTAGATGGACAGTTGCTGAGTGCACGAAATACCTGCACGTACAGTGCTCGCAATGGCATAGAATAAGCCTTCGCAATGTTTTTTTACAACCATCACTACACAACTCCCCTTCTAAGGGCCAAACGTTTCGGAAACTCACCCAAATTTACGAGAAAGGTGGAACGCGGAGAAGGGTATGGGCTGTGGAAAACTTACTGATTCGCCGATTGCGTGGTTGGCTTGCTTTGGAAATGTTGGAATTCTTCGAAGTCGACCTTAGAAGGAGTGTTTCCTGGCAACGAACGATCGTGCGATTAACTCTCTTTGCAAAAACTGTAATCGATCGCAGTCGATCTTAACAAAAGGTGTGTTTCACGGAATGGAAAACGTAAATATACCGTAAATGCCTCAGTGGTAAAGAAAATACACGCAAAATGAATCAGTGCTTAATTTTATTCAAGGCCAATGACTTTTTGTAATGTTTTCGGAAATCTTCCTTTTTGTTATGATTTATCAAACATAAATTCCACTTCTTAGAAAACGGACAGGCCTATACCGCGAGAACTGAGGAAGGATCGATTGCAGAAAAATGAACGTTATAATGATATTTCGCTGAAATACTGATCAGAATGGTTTCACCACAAAATTATCGCTAAAAACATTCATCTGTTAATGTTGACCTTAAATGGATAAATTTTTGCAGCCTCAGGGGGAGAAAGTAAACCAAACTTCCTCGGGAAAGAGTTGAAAAATGTTTCCAATTGACAATAATGTTGTGCTACGGAAGTACTTGAGTGAGAAATGAATGCTAAGAAAACATGCACCGGTTACGTAGCCTACATGCAAAAGTGTCCTTCTTTTCTTACTTTTTTTATTCCTTTAAACAAACTGACAACACGATCCACTGACGCATATTTATGACTCAATGTCATTTTCTTTTGAATTTTTTTTTTTCGCATGACCTTGGATCGCGTCCATAAATTCAAACTAGCAACGCAAAAAGAATGTGGATATCTTCTAGTTTTGATTATTGCCCAACCGGACACGTCGGTTCTTATAGCGTGCGATAAAACATCTTGGTATCCGATTAAAAACAGAGACCACCCTTCAACGACCTCTCACCCACAATTCCTCCTGTCCTTGCCAACTACGAATGTCTGACTATTGTGCGTTGCCACCTAAATTTGAACATGAAGCTGTAAAGCTGAACAGTGCAGACATAAATCTTCTAAACCTTCTGCGTTAAGAGAAGTTTTAAAGGAAAAATGGGGTTAAAAGTCATTTCGTGCAGAAAGCCTGAAAATGAAAGCTACGAAAATGATAGCCGAATAACATCTAACCTTTTATGTATTTAGATTAATAAGTTCCGGTGACATTTGGAATTTGTTTTACAAAAATAGCATACGGAGAGGGAAAGAGGCTTCATTGAGAATTAAACGAATATTTTTTCAATTATTGTGTTCTGCGACCCCTCGTGTGGGAACTCACTCCTCGATGCTCTTGTGTCCCACTTATGCGTAAGAAAAGCAAAACTTAACTTACTCGTCAAAATTGAAGTATTTCCATTCTCGACAAAAAGCCGGTAACTTTATTTTGGCGGAAGCGCCGCGTGGAATCACAACCTAAGCATGTAAACAAAACTTGTAGGCAGGTTACCGCGTATAAACAGATAAACTACAGTAACACGAACATACAGGTGGATATTCACAAGTTATTAGTAATAGGAATCTTCTCCACAGTAGCCAACATACAACAGATGCAATTTCACAAGGGGCTTAGATTCCACTGCCTATTTAAAATACCACTTGTTAGCTTCTCTAAAGGCCATTGAGCTTCAACTGGATGATATGCTTACGACGCGTAAGGTGCTTGTACTTCGTACATCGATGAGTTAGAAAATTCACTTTACTCGCGCGACGTTTCCTGTTCCAGTGCATGTTTAAAACATGTCCATCCGGTGGATTCGTTAATTTTTCAAAACAAAACTGTCAAATCTATAAGAGATCACTCACGTCACTCCGGTCAGTTTTACGCAAACCGTAGTCGAAACACTGTGGCGCTCGCGCGAATCGTTCAGTCGCGTGGAAGTTGCGTGTTTATTCGCGTTGCAGAGGAGGGCAGTTAAATTCGCGCGAAAAATGATCCGATCTTTAAAGGGTGGAAATGACTTAACCAATTTACTCAGGAGCTGGGTACCTTCCAAGAACAGCAAATAGTTCCCTCAAATTCTTAGGGTCGCGGTCCAAATGCGTATGAAAAAAAGATGAAAAACCACCGGAAGAATTCCACGGGCTGACTAACCTGGAGAGCAGGGCATCAGAAATTTCCACTCTCGTTCAGACACAGAAATGCTTCGAACATTCTTGAAAACTAACAAGCAAAACTGTGTGAATCCTCAGAGTTATTATGAACTGTGTAAAGGTTTGCAAATTTCTGTTCCTTAAGACGACATCACAAAGAGCCAGCCAAAAATAGATTTTACTCAAATCAGTCATGCCCGCAGTCATACTGATTACATAGCGCACTTCTAAACGTGAAATGCTACTTTAAATCAAATATTTTGAAAACTTACAGGAAGTATTTCCGATACATTTTCAGCATTACAAGAGTGAGTTGTTTTATCTACAGTCCGGAACCTCCTCCGAGAACACTCGACGTGCGCCTGATAACATGTTACCTAACGTGAATACTGACGTGAACATAACGGTTCAAAGTTCGCCATTCAATTGTTCACTCTTATTCGTCATCATTTCGGGAGTGGAACCACTTTGAGAACTCAGTGGACTCAAAATGTCCGCTATAATGTGACACTCTCTTGGACAAAAATCGTTTTCTTCTTTCTTTTCTCCTTTCCTGTCGCACACTTCATCCTCCCCAAAATCTTGACAAGAACAACTAACGCCATTTTTATCTTACTTCATTCACCTTTTTTTTCCCATCGGTCTTTACTGATGAAGTCCAAATAAAGCCACGGTAGTTGTACCCGAGAGCGTGCATAGAAAAGCTGTGCGGCCGACTGAAACATATGAAAACTTAGGATGCGGTCAAGTTACTATGTTTGAAGGTTTTAAAACTGTTTAAATGAGGCAAATAAATAACGAATTTGAGCTAGGAAAGGGCCATAATGCATAGTTTTAAATGGGAAATTGAAAATGTCGCTCAATTCAGTCTCTTTCAAATATTTTCAATATTCTTCCATGGAAAAGACATTCATCGAGCAAACAAAATGTCTTTACACAAAATCATGTATTCACAAAGAAGCACTTATGCCAATAACTCCACGATTATTTGCTCAACGAGGATTAGTAATTTGTTTTACTATCTTGGAATTTTTGGCGAGGAACAGTACATGTTGAGTGGGGCATTGGGCAAAAGAAAAAGTTATATTTTCACAGCGCTCCTAAGAAAGTTTACGTGTAAGTTCCAAAGTTCTGAGAAGGCCATCAGCATGTCTGTTAAAATATTTTTTAAGCAGGAAATCAGAGCATTTGTAAATAGAGTGCGGATGTTACCTTCACACAAGAGACAAAACAAACATCTGTTAGGATAGCATACTCGCGGTTTAAAATGAGATACAAACGGACGGACAGATGACAACAAAGTCGCGAAAAAACGTAGTAAAAACAAAGGAGACGCGGAACTTGCCGAGGACCTCTCGGCAGGGACGGCAGTACATTGATCAGGTTATTGTCAGCTTCTGACAAAGTAACAAGATCAATCCGCCACTGAATCGAAACTGAAGCGAGCATGGACTGAACTACATTCTGCATTAATTAAAAACTTTCCATTGAAGGCTGAAATGCGCGGTAATAATGCCTGAACTTGATGTGAGGTCTGCGAAAGGGCAGTTTTGACACGCTTTAACTTGGTTTAGTTTCTAAAGGTCAGTGTTTGATTAAGAATTTTTGAAGTCTGATTGGTTTCTATGGACTCCCAGGGGAATTGATCATACTTGATTGACGAATTTTGGTCGAATTTAGATACTGTACTGAAATATGATTGGCCCCTCTACTGGTACTCTCCCTCCTGATTGGCCCCGCGCGTTGTGCGCGCGCGATTCGCGGAGCTCTTGGTATGCAGTGACGCATGACATGATTCTACGCTGCACTGGATAAACAAAGAGCAAACCTGCCGTGAGGTGCCGTGGGTTTTTGAGTAGTCGTTGTCTTCATCCTTGATTACATTTATTCTCGCCCGTGTTATGTGTGATGCGTCGCAGAGGTGCGCCGTTATTAGATCGTGGAGCTTCGCTAGATAAACATGGGTTGCAACCACAGCAAAAAGCTCGACGATGTAGATTGTGTCAAGACGAGCAAGCTGAACGAAGCATCACGTGAAGTGGGGTGCAAAGAATTAGTCAACAATGAAAAGGGGAAAAACTCTGAGAAGAAGCCAAAGAGAGGACGAGTCCTCGAAGGAAAGCTAAGCTTTGATGCTGTTGTCACGGAGAAATACGAGATCAAAGCGCTCATAGGTAGAGGTTCATTCAGTAGAGTCGTCCGTGTTGAACACAAGGAAACAAAACAACCTTACGCGATCAAAATGTTAAAGGTTCGCGGTGGTAAAAACGGCTTCGAGTCCGAAGTCGCTGTTCTAAGGAAGGTGAAGCACGATTACATTGTTCAACTATACGAAGTTTTTGAGTGTCCAGAGAGAATTTATCTGGTTATGGAGCTCGCAACAGGCGGTGAACTCTTGGATCGCATCGTTTGTCGGGGATCTTTTACCGAACACGATGCTACTCGAGTCCTTATTATGGTACTGGAGGGAGTCAGTTATCTACACTCTCTTGGGATAACTCATCGAGATCTGAAGCCAGAAAATTTATTGTACTATCACCCTGGTAACGATTCCAAAATCATGATCACGGACTTTGGATTTTCGAGCGCTTTTCAAAACTCCGACAGCGCGACAATGGATACAATTTGCGGAACACCGGAGTACATAGCACCTGAAATACTCAAGAGGCAACCGTATACAAATGCAGTGGACATGTGGGCCATTGGGGTAATAACGCACATCCTTCTTAGCGGAGAAATGCCATTTTCAGACGAGAATCGTACGAGGATGTATCATGCAATTTTGAAGGCAAAGTACTCGTATATCACTGAGGTGAGTGCGCTTGTGTACATACATGCATGATAGCGCTCTGTTGATTCGATCTTAGTGGTTTGTTGATCGCTCTCGATTTTGCCTGATGTTATGGTAATCAGGTTAATCGTTTTCGCCGGTAACTACTTTGTTCGTTTTTACGGAAACTTTATACAATAGTAGTATACCACCGTGAGAAAATTCGTGTTTGTAACCTGCCCTACATTGAATACGGTAACTCAACGTAGCGGTAGGATCGATTTTCGCTGGCAAGATTTCAAAGATCTTTTGTGCTCTGACAGGGTTTTCTTGTTCGGATATTGTAATCCGTGTATTAGCGTAAGCAGAAATCGTCTTGTGACAATCGGTACCGTGGTTATTCTTTGAAAAGCTCATATTATAGTGCAATTCTGGACAAACTTAGCGCGTTCGTGCGGCAAATGCTATACCAAGTTATCTTCTTTGTTATTACACAATGCAAATTCGCTTGCCGCGATCTGTAGGACAGTGACCTCTGTAATTAGCTTTCTTTGAAAAGAATCACTTTCAGCGCATAATTGTTTTAATGAAAAAAAAAAAGAAAAAACAAATTATCCTCTAAACTTTATTTTGTGTATCAAATCAAGTGGAGAAGAGAGCTATTGTCTATGCGCTTGGTGCGAAGAACTATTGTTTCTAATAGGGGTCTGGAACGTTCGGGTTTCCTCGTTGAATTAAATAACTGTTTCTATACAGCGGGCATGATCGAAGAAAACAAAAAAGTGATTCCCATAGTCGTGACAATGTTACGAGTAATTTGGCAGTAAGAGATACCGGTGTTTGATTTAATCTCTCGGAAATGTTCCTGATGTCAAAATGTAAGGCAGAACGTTATACTGTATTTCCTGTGATTATGTAAGTTATTTGGTTTCACTGCCAGCCTTCATCGTAAAGCAACCACAGCTACATAGTTTAGCATTGTCCACCTGTTGCGAATCTGCCTTTCTCTTTTCCGTGCAGGTCGCTGAGTAGGGCGTTCGGGGTGGCCTTTTTGATCTCTATAACATTCCGGTCATTTTGCGGCGAACCCAACGCTTGTTTGCGGTCTCGTGCTATCGTCAGAAACATTCGCTCTTATACGGATCATTGTTTACATTTCAGCTATTCGAGACACTCTGCTGTTATTTGTCGTAACATTTAGGCCAGTTGTGAAAGTTTTCCAAGCTGAAAGTTGTTTTGTAGTGTGCTTCAGAATATAACCAAATTTAAAGGATTTCCCGGTGTTAGGAAATATGTAGTGTAAAGTCCTTTTGTTGGATCTAAATCGTATTAGGATCAGTAACTTCAGGAATGAAATGTTTCAGAAGAGTGATAGATGTGGAGATGATATTCTGTTGGTACAAACTTTTTCTATTGTTTTTTTTTTTTTTTTTAGAAAAATTAGATTACCCCATAAAAATCCAACCTCCTAACTCAGAATCATCCAACAGTGGATTTTAATTCACATTCCTACTATTGTGTTGCAAACATGTCTGAAATGGGATAATTGGCCCAAAACCAAGAACTATATTTGGCGAGAGAGATTGTTTAACTCATTAATGGACACTCAGTAAATGTATATGAATAAAGTATCGGGTCACTTTGCATACAAATAAAATTAAGTGGAATTACTAAGCATAAATTCATAAGATCTGATTGGGATCTGATCAAGATCAAACAAGGAAAGAAAACCAAAACTATAATCCAAGTATACAAATATTGTTTTCTCTGATTCTTCATTAAGATACAACCCTTTAAAAGCATGACACCAATGGACTTACCAGTTCCTTTACAAGGTTGAATGGATTCCAAACTCTCTATAGCAGGGGGGCATTGGGGGTTCTGAGCACTACAACCCACTCAAAAATTTCAGCAAGGTCCACAATATTGAAAAAAAAGTCGCCAGATACTGCAATACTTAACACCGAGTCAAAAGTCTGTCATGCCAAAACCACTACTCTCTATGTTAAGTGCAAATAACATAGAAGTAACAATTAAGGATTTGTTGATGAATGTTCAGTTAGATAATTTTCAATTTCATCTTGCTTCTGAAATAATCGGAAACTGGAAAAGGTTTGGAAAACGGTGACAGACTCGAAGGATAATTTTTGATACCATTGAAAATGTTAAAAACCGCATCCCCCAAGTTCGGAGAATGCTGCAGTAAAGCTATTTCAGATTAAAATTACCAAAATGCTGCGAAAAAAATTGTCCAATAGCACACGCACTAAAGTCCCTCTCTTCTATAGAATATTGTAATCCTTCCGTAAAGTATATTTGACTTTTTACCTTTTTGAACTACCCCTTATCGTGGGCTGAACAAAGGATACAACATATTTCAGCCATCAAATTTGCAAAAGAATCTGCAGGCATGTAAACAAAGATATGAAAGTATTTAGTGAGCATATACAATCTCCAAATCTTCATGATTGCTATATTCAATTTCATACGTAAACATGTGACTTAAGAAACTAGACAATGCAATCTAATCATATGAAACTACATCATAACATAGGAAACTCAGGGTAATGAACTCTTAGTTATTTCATGAAAAAATTGTGCAAAGCACCCAACAACAGTGCGCAACTTATTAGACAAACAGAACTAAATGATGATAACGAAAGAGGGCCAACGCTGGTTTTTATGTTGTAAAAATCCCAACCATTCCAGATTCTGGGCATATATGGGGAAATTTCCAGGTGTTATCGGAGATTCAACCAATATTGAATTTGGTGGGAGTGTAGCTAAGCAACTGAGGATTGGTTGCAAGCCAAAACTATCACCTCTATACTTGACGTAGATCTTGCCTGAAAGATCATAGAGCATCCGGGATTTGACCAGACAATAGAAATACTCTCTACCTCTCAATTTGTCAGAAACAATGCCTAAGGATTGCAGATGTATACTATTTACCCCTCTATTAGTCAGTTAGATCTTAGCAGTAGGGACTATGTGGTCAAAGTGCAAAACAGTGAGCTATTCAAAGTTGATTTCCTGCCCCCTTTGAGACAGACCATAATGTAAGTATGGTAGTATTAAATTCTAGAGATGAAATCTAAACCAACTGGTAGTGAGTTGATCATGCAAGCTACAAGTGCAAATCAAAATTAGGATACACTATCAGTAGTATTATGTAACAAAGTTTTCTTAAAATTTTTAAGTGGGTGGATGTTGCTGAAAGTTAGAACAGTATTGTATTTCAGGTCTTAATTTTTAGGAGATAGATACAAGGTGATGTTAAAGGCAAATGGCTCTGAGAATGTTATCATAATAAAGTAAAGTATGTTTTCAGCCTAATTTTGAGTTGCAAGAGTGAAGAACTTTGCTTTCTGACGTTTATTTTTGTATTATAAATAAGATTAGGAAAATTGCATTAACAAAGGAACTTAAAGAATTATGGAACTTAATTATTTGCATTATAGAAGGAATCAGCATAGGGAATATAATTTATACAGTTTAAACACACCCAGTAGATGGGAAATCCTCTATCCCCTTGAGGTACTTTGCAAAATAAAAATTTGAAACATGTTGTATCTATCCATGATCAGTAGGTTAAAATCCATGAGGTGTCTTAATTCATGCCTATAACAGATTGAGGCTATGTTTATCCAGTTCATGTGATTACTATTTTTGACTTGATAAAAACAGTAAGGGCTTGAATTTTTGGAACACTCTGAGAAGAATAAATTAACATAGGCATCAAGCTTGGAAATCTCGTTCGTGATCTTTGGTAAAACTGAAGTGAGGTCATGCATAAGAGTGCTCAGTGCTACCATATGGTAGTGTTAAGCACTGCATCTCAAAGATTAATCCAATTTAGTTTTAAATAGCAGTTATTTTGTTAGATCAGGCAATCATGCAGTTTTCTCCATAATGAAACTAATACAATTCTTAGAATTCTACATGAATAAATCTCTATGGTTTTATTTTTCTATCCAGTTGAGATGTAATAAATTTTATTGACAATGATGGCCAACAAGGGGAGTCTGTTCACTGACCTTGCATTTTGTCAAATGCATTGCACAAGCAAAATAAAAGCTGTGGGGAATTTTATCAACTCAAAAGCTAGAGCTTGTGCTTCGTAGGCCAAATATGAAATAGTGTCATTGCGAGTTGAGAAAATATGACAAATTTTCCTGAAACACAGCCATAATCTTGTTTAGTGAGTATTTCAGCTTGGAAATCTATTTGCCTCACAGTGATGCACTTATCATTGTCTCTCAAACTGTGAAAGGGCTAGACAATGGAATATGAAGCTGCTCAAATTAAATTTACCCTAGTTCCACCATTCCAATGGTAATGCTTTTTCATGGACATCAACAAGTAACAGATGAGTTATTAATGCATCCTTCACCAACAGTTTGATGCCTTGTACTGTTAAGTTTTGATGTTTTTTTTCGTGCAGGTTTCAATGACATCACCCAGCTCCTTCAACTTTATCAATCATTTAGTTCTAATTGCATTTTTTCCAGCCACAAATGTGTCTTTTCTTTGTCTACAGCCTGATTAATCTTGTAACCCATTTTACAAATTGTGAAGTCAGTCCCACCCTTTCCTTTGTTTACAAATAGTTCATATGTTAGGTTTTGTCACAAGTTAGTAGTTCAACATTCACACACGATACACAGTTGAGTTCCCTTTTGTGATTTCTCACTTAAAGCCACTAGTACATTATATTTTCAGTTCTTGCCGTGACACTATGGAAGACAGCAGAAAGCGATAATCACCATATAATCATTTCAGGATTCCACATGATTTAAAACTGATAAATGTTTTCCTTGCAGAAGTATCCTAAAAGGTGTGATCAGTACATCATAAAACTTAACGCAAAAAGTTTTTTTCAAATGGAGAGCATTTTACTATATGAAATCAGAAAATTATGGTTATCCACAATCTTTGTGGTTCTTGCCATTACATTACAAAAGACGATAAACATCTCAAAATCATTTCACAGTGGCATTGACCGACCGCATAATTGAAATCAAAACTTTTCTGTGCAGAAATATCTCAATAGATGTGATCTGCATGTCATGGAAAAACATTGTTGCTCAATTTCAAGAAAATGAAATTGAAAAAAAAAATAGATCGGTCACCCTGCTCATTTGCAAGAAAATGACAGTTTACCTCTATTGTGAACCCCAAACAAAGAGAGAAAGCTACTATTTTTTAATGTGCTTGCACTAGTTGTGTGTGAAATAATGCGCAGTAAGGATGTGCAAGCAATAATACAGAATGCCATTCAATAAACTGAGATGATTTCTAGCATGATGAGCCACTGGCCTTAGCTTGTGCTCGTACTGGTAAATTTAGGTAGTCCAAGAAGAGGTCAACCTGCAACCAATTAAATGACTAACTATTTCTCTATCTTAGGCATGGAAGGATGTGTCAGAACAAGCAAAGAACTTTATTGACAAGTTACTGGTAGTAGATCCTGGTAAGCGGATGACTGCGGATCAAGCTCTTAGAGATCCATGGATTGCACTTAGTGTTGCTTCATCAAGTTTGAAAGACCTTCATCGTTCTTTCAGTCAGAATTGGTTGAAAAGTAGCTCTCGGCTGAACAGTGCTAAATCAAATGCGTCTCAGAATTGGGTGAAAAGTGGCTCTCGAATGAGCAGTGCAAAATCAAATGCATCTCAAAATTCTACAAGATCCTTGAGATCAGGTAGATGCAAGCAAAAAAACAGCTCCCCTCTTCCACTGGACACAACAGCACAAAGCGATGAGTTCAAACAAGGTGGAACCAAATCAAAAGATTTGAAGGATTTGAATGTTAAGCTAACAAAGCAGTTAGCTGAAAAGCTCCATTCTGTAATTAATGAGGATGACAGAGAATTTTTTAACAGCACTACAACAGAGAATGAATGTGAAGTTGCAGTTCTTAAGGTAACTAGAGAATGGACTGGTAACAGGCAACATGGTGTGAGAGGAGATCCTGATACCAACATTCAAACTATTGACTCAAGTTGGAATGTGAAAAGCAAAACAGATAATTCCTCACCCCTACAACATCCTTTAACACACGAAACTTCCAACGAGAAAGCAAAGACAAAGCCAATTCCAATTGTGAGAGACGGAGCACAGCTGTCACATTTAGTAATGAGAGATAATTTCTTGGGCGGGCAAAGTGCACCAGAGACATCTCAAAACTGGTTCCAGGATAGCATTCGTAGAACTTCTTATGCAGGAGAATCGCTAACTAAATTCCACTCATTGTCTCCATCAAGGAAAAACAGAGTATTTTGTACCTATGATAGTAGTTAGGTACTGTACATATTTGTCTGACAAATTTTATTATCAAAGAATTTTATTCAATAAATTTTATAAACAAAGTATTTTGCACTTTTGAAGAGTCGATTTTGTTTTATTTCAAGATTTTCCTACATTATCTTAATTTCAACTTCAGTCATTACTCAAAAAAAATCCAAACTTTGGGTTTGGAGCAACATTATTTTTTCATTTCCAAGCTTCTTTAGTGTACCCTATTTAAGATCTCAGAAAAACTAGATTTTTTTAGGGTATCAACCTTTCTATTTCACTCTGCATGTTTACATTATGTTATCTCATTCTCCTGTTAAACCATATATAAAAGAAAAACATGAATCACTTCAAAATAGATATTGATAATTATAATATTATTGCATTTAAATGTAAATGAAAAATTTTTTATGAAGGTTTTTGTGTGTCCATTTTTAAATATACTATTTGAATAGGGTACCCTCGAGAAAGAGGGCTCTGAAGAATATAACTTATACTGGTATTGTTACTGAAATTACCATGCTGTCAAATGGGGAATATCTATGTACTGTGACCAATTTTCTTTCTTTGGATGACCTGCCACATTCACTGGTTTCGTTATCAGTTGTCACAAGCCATTCCCAACTTTCCAGAAACACCAAATGATGGCAGTTAAAACTACTTTGTTTAGTATTGCTATTTTAGTAAAAAGACTAAAAATTGCCTCATTTGGGGAAATCACTTTTAACTTTTAATGTATGGTGTATCCAGATAATTTGTAGAAGTTGTCAAATGAAGTAGTGTTGGTCACAGTACTGAAATTTGAAAACATTCCACAGTTTAGTGATATCCCCAGTATTGCCACGAAAATGAATTTTAGCCTTCCTTGAGAAGCAAAGTCCTGGACACATTTATTGACTAAATGTATTAACATATATTTTCTTATCAGAAACTTTATACATATTTTTACTTTTATATATTGACCTATTGTTTTGATTTTCATTTATCTTGGTGCAAGGAGACTCTGAAAATATCATTATGTAACTGTGACCAAATAATTATAATGCAGAAGGTTTCAAGATTTCTGGAAATCGTAAATCAGAATTACCTCAAATTTAATATAATTTCAAAGCTGGAGATGTAAAATAAGTAGTTGAGATATAGAGATGTATTTATTTCATATACACATGCTGTAAAGAGAATGCAATGTAAGAAACTGTTTGATTTTTACTTGAAAAATGAATATGCCATTTGTACATGTATCTTATACCAGACACATGCATATTAAAAATTATGCTGGTCATAAAAAAAATTTCAAGATGTTTCAGTACAAGGACAGTTTAGTTTGTAATAGTAGTGTTATGAAGTACTTTAATGTTTCAAATTATTATTATTATTAAGATGACTAAGTCTCTTTAAACGTACAGGATATTAACTCAGTGATCATTCTAATCAAACTGGATGTAACTCCTTGAAAAAAACTGAATTATTTAATTAAAATTCTATCAATTGATGTACATTATGTTTTGTTCATCTGCACTGCATTATTCATTCTCATATATATATATATATAGGAACAAACCTCACTTTCTAAGGTGAACTAGTAACGTGTAAGTGTAGGTAAAGAATTTCTTAACTCCAAGAATTCATGTGACGGTGATTATCATAGGTTACCAATAATTCATTATTTTAATGGAAATACTAAAGTTTTCTGAAGCACAAGGCAAGAATTTTTTTCTAAACTATAAACACTTTGTAAATAAATGTTACTAATTAAAGAGTGCCATTATGATTATTGCATCTTGTTTACTGCACAATTTATGCTTTTTTTTTTCTCAATGATTTTGAGTTATTTGCAATGCCATTAGAACTGGAGCTTCTCTTCTGATGTGTTCCACTTGGTAATGTACTCTGTATATCTAAAAAATCCCCAGCATCTCAACCCTTTACACACAGACATCAGGATATGTATCCTCCATACTGTTAGATCTATACAATTCCTAAGGTGCTGACAAGGAGAATTTGTTTAACAATCAAGGGCTTCTTTAGATGGTTATCATTTCCTTTATTTCTTGTGACAGTTATGTTTCATCCAGAGGTAAAACTCTAAAGAGAAATTAAATGCAAGTCACTTTTTGGAAGTCAAAGAATTAAATCAATTCTCATTCCCATGAGTTGCACATTTATATGTCAGAGGAGTTTACATTTCGTTAAGATTTATTGATTGATTGGCTGGTAAGCTTGAGAAAATAGTGGCAACAATGACTCAAGTCCAATGGCTCATGGCTGCTTCAGATCAACTACTGTTTATTAAATAGCAAAAAGGTACAGGTAGATACAGTAGTTACAATCACCTCAGGATAGAAATCCAGACCATTGGCTAATGGCCATCTTATTTGATAGGGTACCCTATTGACTACTAGCCAAAGAAAAGCTTAGAGAAAAAATGTGATTCCACTCATGATCCCATCAAGGCTAAAACCTGCATCCGTAGAAGGTGTAACACCAACTGTTTGACAATCATGATTCCTTGGCTTTTCAATGCTTTAACATTTATGTCACCTGTTGGATCAGAACAAGTAATTTGATCATCTATGTAAGGGTAGTCCTGAGAAGGGCTGTAATGTCAGTAGCAGTGACTGATACTGTGACACCTTAGCAGAAGTCATTACTGGAGTCAACTCAACTCCAAATCCTCTTGGCTCTGATGACTTTGGCTGAGGTTATGGAAGCATCAGTCACTACTACACAGGACAGTCCTTCTCAGAAATACTCTTACTTGAAAAATCAGATTACATAATTAAAGTTTACATGTTGATTCTGACAATTTACTGTTTGAAGTTGTTTGATATGCAAGATCTTGTTTTATTGTGTGCTACTACTGCAGCACCTCCTTTATTCATAGTTGAGGTCACTAACTGATGATGAACCAGCATCTTATTAAGGTAAAGAAGAGGCATTGAAAGTACTTGTTTCATCAGGCCACACTTATTCATATTTCTTTGGTGCTTATTCAAGCACCAAAGATATTTCTGGGCAACTGTGCTCTTTTTGGTTGCCTAGTGGTGGTGATGACAAATCTTTTGAAGCTTGGTCTGGATTTAATCACTCTGAACATGAATTGTTTATACATTCCCTTATAGCCCCTAATAGGGGCCATAAGTCACAACTGTAAATATCTTGGCAGTAAAATTCTATTTGTGCCAAGTCTTTCTTAGTAAGTTTACACCAGGTTTTTCTTTAACCCCTTCATTGCCTGCATGACTGAGCATGTTACACCATTTACAGTTTGTGTGCCTACATGAGAAATCAATGTCAAAAGTTAGAGAGTAACAGTCAAATCCCTGGCACTGGAAATTTAAAACAAACTGGCCTCTAAAACTCAAAGCAAGTTAGAATTCCAAGAAATAATGTCAATGTGCATTTATTTAGCACAAGACTTCTCAGTGGGGTTTGCAGTTAAAGGTTAATAAAAATGAGTAAAAGTGGACCAACAATTTTTTTTTTTCTTTTTTTACACTAGGATCAAAGCTAGAAAGAGCAAAAGACACTGTTGATCCAGTCAAACAAGAAGGCATAGATTACAGAATTCCCTGTGAATGTGGCAAAGTCTACATCAGTGAGACTGGAAGACCAATGCGACTGAGACAGAATAAAGGAGCATGACTGAGACATCCAACTAGCTCATACCCAGACCTCCACTGTTTCAAAACACACTCACAACACTGGACACCAACCACTTTTGGAATGAGGTTGAGTTTATTGATTGTGATCCTCACTGGTACACTCCCACATCAACAGAAACAGTGGAATAGAAATTCCCAAAGCGTGGATACCCACAACAAAAAAAACACAACAACAGGAGAGCCATACAACAGTGGACTGCCAAGAGAATAACATCAAAGATCAAAATGCACCAATCACAGCTGTGGAATACCAGCCAATCACAGCAGAGCATCCTACTTTCTAAGAAGACCTGAAATCAGTTGACCTTATCGCCTGATGAAGACTAGCAGTATGCAGTCAAAATGTTGCAATCCACATCATAAGTGATAGTATCATGAGACAAACAATAATACATATATCTTATTAACCAAGCGCGAGGGCCGTACTGGGACAATATTGGCCCGAGGTCTTAACAGTACGGACCGAGCACAGCGAGATCCATACAAAAAAGACCGAGGGCCGATGTTCTTCCAGTACAGTCCCAAGCAAGCTTGGTTAATAAGAGATTTATTATACGACTGAAGTTCAAAGCGACGCAAGTGCGGTATCATTCGGGACCATTTGGGACAGTGCCCGGTCCAGTACTTAGAGAATACTGGACTGGCAATAGAGCATTTTGATTGGTTGATTTTTGTTATTGGCCCTCTGACTGCCCGAGTCGTGTAATAATTTATTATTATTGGACCAACAAAATTCAGAAGGGATCGAGGAAAGAATTATCTGTTTCTCTCCATAGTTCTCTCACATTTTTCCCTCTCTAAACCTCCTTTTTTTACCTCATCCCCACAAACTGAGTACCACTAAAAAGCCAAGTTACCCAACAAGTTATCTTTAAGCCATCTGGCCAACAACTTCCACAAATTATCCCAGTTTCCAATGTGGAGAAGACTAAGAGTATCACACTAGTTACTCCCCATTGAAGGAATGCCAGTTCCTAAGAGAGAAACATCCAAGCATCTTGTCACATATTCCTTGCCTGTCACCCCAACAGTTTGTTGATAATCTCCAGGTAATAATCTTTGCTTATGACACCCCTGAATCACACAGGAAGGTCACAATAATTAAGGAAATGATCAACAACTGAAGCAGTTCTTGTTTGTTGAATAAATTCTCCTTTTTAGCACCTTAAAAATTTATGGCGAACGGTATGGAGAATTTACATAATGATATAAGGAGGTTCAACTTTGTCTTGCCAGAAAATGTCTCAATGTCTCTTTTTACTCTGAGCACTTGCACTTTGCATTTATTTCAGATAACGTCAGTGTAACATTATGTGTATATCGCTCCAAGAAAGAACCTTCACGTAAAGGATAAGCCTTCCAACCTAATTTCACTCTCTTCTCCTACATGGACTATATATATATATGATGTAAATATCTTAATACAGTTAGTAAGTTTATACATAATTGCTTGTTTCTCCTCTATCTCCCTCGTTCTTACCTTCCATTAAATCAGGTATTAATCGATTTACTTATTTAGTAATTTCCCACATTTAAAACGGCGTTTTTGTTGAGCTTCATTTCACCCGGGAATCTCTCTTTTAAAGCCCCTCCTGCTGTCTTCAAATTAATTTTTGTTTCCCACAACAAAAAAGTAGAATAGGCCATCAAGATTTTCTTTAATCCGATTCAGAGATAGAACATACCTTAAAATTCCATGATGAGCTGGTTTAGATGTTGTATAAATCCTATTTTCAACGAGAATTATAATTAGACGGAAAAGTTGTCCAATATTGATAATTATAATGACGCGGGGAAAATTTGTACATGACCTTCCGAGGTGCGGTCCCCAGAAAAACCCGCGCGCGGGAAAAACTTAACCACTTGGGACCCTGGTAACGAAGAAACGCTGATTATTCTCTCAAGGGTAGGGAGAAAATAAAAATTTTATTTGATCAAGATTGTTCTTTGATTTTGAGAAGAAACTAAATTAAGCCCTCTACAGAAAAATGATAGTTTCTTATTACCACTGTTTTACTTCAATATTGTTGAGGCTTCTAAAAGCAGCGAAATTTTTGATAATGTAAAAATAATTTGAACAGCCCTCCCCTACTCGAAACACTACATAAAGGCCACTCCAACGGGCGCACTATTTAAATTTCACTGTTAGCCAATCACATCAACGCACGGACTTTTTGCAGCATGTAGCTCGGCTTATCATGGCGGATTTCGGTTCTCCGGGAACGCCAAGTAGACATGAAAAATCTCTCGGTTTATTGACCACGAAATTCGTTAGTTTGTTGCAAGAAGCCAAAGATGGTGTCTTAGATCTCAAAGTGGTAAGTATACGAAGAAATCTTGGTTTTTGGTCCACAAAGGAAGACATTTTTTGGTTCGCCGAACCTTCCTTTGTGGCCCTGATAAGCGTTCACCATCTGAAGTGTTTACTTTGTCGATTTTAGGCAGCCGATACGCTAGCTGTACGCCAAAAACGACGAATTTACGATATAACGAATGTACTTGAAGGAATTGGACTGATAGAGAAGAAATCGAAGAATAGCATCCAGTGGAAGTAAGTAAAACTATCAAAGGGGAATTAACTTCATGTGACGAGAGCATTCGCGCGGGACCATCAAACGAATTCCATCGCAGTTCCCTTAATCTCGCGGGAGACAGGTAGGGAGATAGGTCCACGACCGATTCTTCCAAAAACATGCTCTCTGCAATAAAACCTCGTAGAATATAGATTTTGAAAAAGAGAAGATCATTTAGAGCGAAAGTAAGTATTTTCTTGGCAGTTCTTTACGTGTTCAAGGTTCGGGCGCGTGTTTCCAGCGCGCAGAACATGGTCGAAGACATATTTACCGCCATTATTTTGGCGCCGTTTGTTATAGGGGAGTTGTCGTTTAAGGGCGAAAATAAATGTAATAATTTCTCTTGAGGACAGATCAGGGTGTTGTTTCATACCCAAGGTAAGTTGCTCCAAAAAAAAGTTTTATTTAGGCAGGCTTGCGTAAGCCAAAAACAAAAGAGGAAGTCAAAATTTCGTGATCATTCAATGATTTTTGGGGACTGTAGTGATTAGTATAATCTTAAAAAGTTCGATGTACTTGGCCAATAAAATGACATTTTAAGTATGTTATGAGTGTTTCATTGAGATATCTTCTATTGTTAGTTGTTCAAATGACTAGAACCTCACGTGTGAATTTTTAGCGTGACTACAGCTGAACTTTAAATCGTAAATGTGAACGACAGCAAGCGCTAAAATTATATTATTTTGTTGCTTTTCTTGGATTCCCGCCAAACCATACCTTAATTTCAGTTCTTGGCCTTAACCATTTCTCCAAGTATGGTTGAGTTTAGCTCAGAAACTATATTAAATAATTTAGATTTAATCGTTTTCGTGATAAATAAAATTTTGAAAATATTTTACCCATTCTCCCCCCCTAGGTCACTGGTACCCAATATGTTTTTATTTATTAGCTCTCATACTCAATACCGTATGATGCCAAGAATTGGAGGAGATTAAAAATTACATTGGACTGGGTGTTGAATTTCTTCCAGCATATCTTTCCCAGCTAATTTTTGTTCGAAAAGCTCCTGTTTGCATGGTTTGACAAAAATATAATTTTCCCGATCAGAGTCTACAAATTTAGAACTAGTTTTTTTTTTTTCATTTGAAGCTGATATTCATGCTGTATGCTTTGCATCAGCAAGTTTACTAATGTTTTATTTTTTGTTTTGTTTTTTTTTTAGTGAAAGGGAACTCCTAAAGTTCTTTTACTTGATGGGGGGAAAACGAAGATGGTCTGAATTTGATTGTTCCCCGGTTTTCACATGGGTTACTTGCAACACCCAACATTTCTTGCATGAATGTTGCATGATATGTGTTGGATGTTCAATTAATTATTTTCAACCAGCTTCCAACATTTTTTTGGCACCTCCAACAATGTTGTTTTAAATCTGTTTTAACCCCATCATCATTCTTTTTGGTTTATTCCAACCTTTCTGGTATTTATTTCCCCTACCATAGACTATTTCAAGGCTTTGTTTCAGTTAGACAAGATCTTCTGTAATGCAAACAAATTGTTCAAAATAATTTTTAAATGTTTTTTTTCCAGGGGTGCAGGACCCGGGTGTAACACAAGGGAAATATCAGACAAGCTTGTGCATTTAAAGGGAGAGTTGGAGAGACTGGAAGACAAAGAAAGGGAACTCGATGAGCAAAGGCTGTGGGTCCAACAGAGTTTAAAAAATGTCTCTGAGGATCCTGAAAATGAGCAACTTGCTTATGTCACCTATGAAGATGTATGCCATAGTTTTAAAGGAGACACTTTGTTGGTCGTCCAAGCTCCATCTGGGACACAGCTTGAGGTTCCAATTCCAGACACAGTAAGATCAGAATCCTTTAAGTAATCTTTCTGTTCAAGGTTCTCTCTTTAATGAATGTTTTCCTTTAATCATAGACTATTACCTTGTTCTAATCTCTATGCTTTCTACTTTGTTTTACAATACTTGCTGCCTGTTACAATGACAAGAACAAATCTAACAGTGCTAGCAACAGATCATGGGGGTTATTAGTACTATAATTATTTTGATATATCAACAAAGTTGAAATGGTAAATTGGCCACTGTACCGATTACAAAAGCTGAAGTTTCGAGCGTTAGCCCTTCGTTAGCCCTTCGTCGTTAGCTCTTCGCTCCGACGAAGGGCTAACGCTCGAAACATCAGCTTTTGTAGTCGTTACAGTGGCCAATTTACTATTTCAACTTTGTTGATATATCCAAATTATTTTGTTACCCCCACCGACGCAGCCCCAAACAGTTTCTTTAGAAACTATCAGCCTTTATTAGTACTATAAGTCTTGTATTAATAGTTCTGCAGTATTTTTTATATTTATTATCTACACAAATCATCTACCCTGGTTAATAAAATGAATTTGAAAATTACCAGAACGATGCCAGAAAAGTTTCGGGTGAGATTGTCAAATTGCCATTCTTTATCCATAACAGCAGTTCACCTCTGGACCTCTCTCAACCAGAATTTTACACTGTGTTCTCTATTCCTAGAACATTTTCACCCAGTGAAAAGTTATGTTTTCAAGGCCCAGTTCCAACATCAAACTTTACAAGAGATCAACAAAGGCTGATAGTTTCAAAAGAAACTGTTTGGGGCTGTGTCGGTGGGAGTAATGAAATAATTTGGAGATATCAACAAAGTTGAAATGGTAAATTGGCCACCGTAACGATTACAAAAGCTGACGTTTCGAGTGTTAGCCCTTCGTCGGAGCGAAGAGATACAAGAGATGAACAAGAGATTTACAAGAGATGAACTAAACAAAGAGAATTGAGTCCAGGTTAAGTTCAATGTTAGAATTAGTTGGGTTTCTCCAAGTGAATTTGGATCAACCAACCTGTTCTTTCCATCTGCTTTGGGTGGATAGAATGGGTGAAGATCGAATGTGGGACAGACATCAACTTTTTCATGGATTGAACTTCCTGAATCATTTTTTAAAAAAAAATTGATTTGCCTGTATTTGGGTGTCCTGATGGCTAAAGGATTTGTTGTTGTTGCCCTAAATTTGGTTCAATGAATTGTATTCAACAATCAAACTTGACCAGTTTGGGTCAATCAAAATTACCATGTTTCATGTGAAGTTCAGCATTGAAACTGGGTTTAAGCATTCAATTCACATGTAACTAGGGGAGCCATATAGTAAATAATGGTTTTAAAAAATTTAACTCCAAAAGAGGACCTGGTAAGGATACTAGTTTAGTCAAGAATTCAACACAAGTAGTGTGAATACCTTAACCATTGAATACACTCATGATTGCTATACCTGAAAATTTTGAAATTCCCTATAGGCTCATAAATACATTTTCAATTTCAGCAGGAGGCTGTTGCTACCTTTAAGACACTAGATTCTCTTTACTATCTTTCTTGAGGTGGAGGTTTGTAGACATACTTAGTCTATTTTTACTAAAACCTCTCTGCAGACTCCAAGTGCCCATCAATCTAGGAAATTCCAGATCCATTTAAAAAGTCAGTCAGGTCCTATACATGTGCTGCTGGTAAACAAGGATGCTGCAGCAAACAACCCTGTGGTGACGCCTGTCCCTCCACCAGCCAGTGATGTCAACTCGAATGACCATGCAGTAGTGAAGGAGGAACCCATGGAAACTAACGCTGATCCTAAACATGCTAATGATATCAATGCTAAAGTGGGAGCAGTCAAAACTGAAGTGCTTGAGAGCAGCAGGGGTATCATGTTACATTCATGATTTACCGTAAACACTGGTGGATAAGCTGCACCTTTTCTTCCAAAATTTCTGTAACTAATTAGGGGTGTGGCTTATCTGCGATAACTTTTGGAAAATGTGCAGCAGATTAGGATAAATTTATCCTCTTCATTGAAAATTTATGAGTCTGCATTAAGTGGTCTGTTATGAAGCTACTGGCAATTCTGTTAGTTAAATAAAGACTTCCTGTTGTTATATTTTTTTATTGAAAAATTGACAGGAATGAAAAGAATACTGGTAAGAGTAAGATCAAATATAAGTGTAAGTTGGTTCATGTAGATGTCATGTCAATACCATTACAACTAAAATTTTAAGTGAGCATTCAAAGTGTTATCTATTTTTAGTCCTATTGAATTTATGCGGTTGTAGAGCAACCAATATAGAGCAACTTTCTCAAGACTCCACTTATGATTTTTTTTTTTTTATTTCATTTCAAAAGCCTTTTTTCCTCAAAGTTGAGTTGCCAAACTTGAGATACAGTGTATCTGCGATTGCAGCCAAACTGTCAACTAGTGTACATGGTAGTTGACAATCGTGTTATTGGTTGAATTGGTTGCTACTTTCTTGCCACATGTTCATCTGTTTCATTAACCGAAATATATGTTTTTGTTATCTTTATTTCAACAGCTAACGAGCTCAAAGAAGTGGCTAATGACATAATATTTGGAAATAATCTGAGAGGTAAAAGTTTGACCTTTTTTTATTTATCACAAGATGGCTGGGAATATTTCTATTTGTGCTGTATGTTCACTGAAGTAGGAAATTTTAAACTCATCAGCTAGAGGAAATGTGAAAATTGAAGTAAACTTTAAGCAGCACTGGACCAGATTGGGTATAACAAACTCCTCACACTGTGTAAAGTGAATTTAGAACCTATAGGAACCAGCTGAAATGGTTGGAGTACTTGGGTTGTTAGAAGTGGTCTTGCAATTGGTAGCTGCGTAAATAAAGTGATTGCCTATAATTTAATCAATGGCTCTGGCCTCAGAAGGTGCAGATACAAATCAGTAAGAGTGCAGTGATAGTCATTTTAAAGGTTGAAGATTATCAGTAACTGGCCATGTTTGAAATTGCCTTTATGAGGTATTCAGAATGAGAATGGTGACATGGTGATAAAGGAACCCATCTATGTAACCAGTGTTCTCCCTTGTTTAAGCATGAAAGGTAAAAGACATTTTCAAACTGGTAGAGCATTCCTTTTACCTGTTCAAGAATTCCAAGCAGTTTTAGGCAGTATTAAGAAGTAAAACAACCACCTGAAAGTGAGAGTACTGTGTAACTACTTCCCATTTTTGATGTTCTTTTATGATTGCAGATACCAGTTTTGCTGAAGAAGTTATGGATGATTTTATGTCAGCAGAGGGTGTGTGTGAAGCTTTTTTTGAAAGCCTTTTAATCCTTGGACTTTTCTCGCTCACAGATAAGTTGTCAAAATGCACAACATAACTGAATATACCTCAACAGGAAAAAACAGGAAAATAGCCCATTATATTCTTAAAATGGTGTTCACAATTTTCATTTTTTACATCCAGTGTGATTAAGTCTCCTTGTGAAATTTTATTGAAGAGAGGAGATTGTTATGCTATTTTTACAATTGCTTGTTGATACAGGCAAGAAAGCTATTTTAAGTCAACTTCCTAGGTATCAGTAATTTTCATGGTTAGCTTTTTGTGAACATTCTCTACTGCATGCTGCACATATAATTTTAAAGATGATTTCAACAAATTGCAGGCTCCATTTGGTATTTAAGTCTCACATATTTGTACTTGGGTATCATCTGTTCCTCACCATTTTCATCAAGCATTCTTTTCTCTCCCAGAGAAAGCGATATCTGTGTCATGTAGTGATTCTCATCCAGTAAAGACATTTTAGAAAAATGAACAAAATTGTCGAGTTTCCTTAAACTTGTCACTCTTTCAAAATCTAGGCATAACAAATACAAAATTAAATGGAAAACAGATGTAATTACACCATTAAAATATTTCTTTACTTCAAATTCACAACAGTTTTATGTCCAATCCACAGTGTATGCACCTTTACTTCGTTTGTCACCACCGCCAGGAGAGCATGACTACTACTTCAACCTAGATGACTCTGAGGGCGTCTGTGATCTATTTGACATTCCAAACCTAGATATGCCTTCTCCGTTAGCAGGAGCAATGGCATCCACGTAATAAATGGATCTATATAAACCTGTACCACTGTTCCGCTAATCCTGCTTTTGAAGTGGTTGCAATCTGGTTTGAAATATCAACATATGTGTCCATTACTTGGTGAGAGAGCCATATAGCTTGGTGTGGAGTATTTGTGTTATACACAAAGCCTAAGCCTGGAGATCGCTTTTCTGATGGTGCAAGTTCAGAAAGAAATAATCATTGATATGTGATTGGAGTGTTTCCTTGTATTCAGACGATTGCAAATGTGGATTTGTAACAAACCAAATTCAGGGTCAGGTAGCAGATGTAAAGCTATCAGAAGAATGTGTGAAATTCATCACTGGATGGAGTAGCTAGAGGTCTGTCAGTCATTGGAGCCATGTTAAACATGGAGCTATATTTAGTTCTTATTAACCGAGCGGGAGGTCTGTATGGGAGAATCTTGACCAAGGTTGCCAGTACAGACCAAACGCAGTGAGGTTCTGTACCAGCAACTGAGGTCAAGATTCTCCCATACAGACCAACCTAGCTCAGTTAATAAGATGTTTATTATATGGCTGTGTCTAGAAAGCAAAGGAACATATCCTTTGTAACTTTTTTTTCTAGACCGGTCTAGATGCCAGTCTAGACAGGAAAATCTGGGCCGCTTTCATTATTGTGAGACACAGCCGTATAATAAAATGATTTATTATCCAACTAACCTAGACGAGTACAAATAACGCCATAGACGAGTACAAATATCACACAGTATTTGTACTTGTCTATTGTAGTACCAGTTAAACAGGTTTTCTCGCATCGCGCAAGCGAAGAATTGGATTGTAGTTACGAAAAAAAAAAAAATGGCAGACAATTTGAATCATATTTCAGAGGACGAAGTGTCAGAATGACTGGCAAGTATAGGCCCAAGTTCATTAGATGAATCGAACGAAGAAAAACAGCTTGACGACCAGAAAATTTCTTCATTTAATGAAGAAAATAGAAACAGTGACACAACAATGCGCCAATTCCGTTTCGCTTCGCATACTTCTGTCACGCACTCCCTGTAAATAAATATCCGCTAAATTTGCCCGCACTGAAATAACAGTTTGGTGTGTTGGATAAAAAATAACTTGTTAGAAATTTTGTGTAGTATCCCTGAGTATTTTTACTCGTTATTTGTATTTTGACTCGCCCTACGGGCTCGTCAAAATACGGCGCAACTCGTTAAAAATACTCAGCGATACTACACAACAAAATGTCCAATAAGATATATATATTAACCCTTCAGCTCTCACCCAGTGATAAACAAGTAACTTCTCTTAAAGGTATCTATTCATTCTACAGCAACCAGGTAGTGAGAATACTCAAACTTATCATTTGTTCTTTATCTTGATCTAACACCAAATTCTTGTAACTAATTTACAAGGAAGTGTGTAGCAGCTAGAGGGGAGAACTGCAAGGGAGGGTAAAAAGGCCAGCGGTGTGTCAAGAAACACCCAGGCAACATAGAATTTCTCTGTTTCTCCACCATTCAAACTTTGCTGAATCATTGGAAATTATTTGATGACATTGTGTCAGACTCTCTTGATATTTGTGATAAGCTAAAACTGTTGGTAAGTTTTTTGTTTTGTTTTGTTTTGTTTTTTTTTACATCCCTGGCTGTTGAAAACAGCAGTTTCTCATAGCAGTGTTTGCAAATACAGGCAATTGATCAGAAAAAATGGGAGAGCTTCCCATTTGGTCCCAGATCATCCCATTAAATAAGACCTTGAATTCTAGTACTCAAAGTGCTGATAAAGCCAAGAAACCGAGAAACAGTGAAATAATTATTCTGTAACCTGGGCGTTATCTGACAATGAAAACCAAGTTTACAGTGTATGCTCAGAGAATACAGGCATTTAATTGTTTAGCTTTTGCTTAGTTTTACAATCACTTCATCATTGTTACAAAGAATTTTCCCTATGATGTTGATGATGCCAGTCATAATTAATTTAATTGATATTATTAGTAGTAGCATCATCGTTGTGATAATTGATACTATTATGACTTTGTCATTTTTATGAACACTTGCCTTACATGTTTATAATGTTCTCATTTTTTGTTTTGTTTTTTTCTTTTTTTCTCTCTCTCTGGAATGGTTGTTACACTTAAGGCAACAAATAATCCAGAACTAATTTTGCAGAGCATGGTTTGATCTGTGAATCAGATCCTTACTACCTAGGAAACACTTAATCAGCTTTCATGAAACACTTTCTAGAATTTTGCAACAAGAATAATTTGGTTTGTGTTGACTAGTTTGAATCATTCGACTTTTTAATTTAGAACTGATTTTGCAGTGCGTGGTTTGAAGCTTGATTTGCAAGTCCAATCCCTATCACTTTGGAAATACTTTCTAGAATTTTGCAACAAGGATTTGGTTTTTGCTGACTAGTTTGGATCATTAGATTTTTGATTTAGGACTGGTTTTACAGTGCATGGTTTGAAGCTTGATTTGCAATTCAGTGTAATGTTCTAGAGTATTATTAGTGCAACAAAGAACCAGTATAACTTTTATTAGCTTATTTGTTTGTCACCAAAACTGAAAAACTTCTGCATATATGTTCTATAAAAAAAAATTTTCCAGACCTGTATATCACCCTGATTAGTCTTTTCAGAAGTGGTTATTTGAATTTATGGTTATCATTTCAAATCTTACTTACCACGTCTTGTATTTACTGTTTGAAGCAAGAAAATGTTTTCATTCAAAGTGATTATTTTCAAGGCTTATTTTTTACCTAATGTACATGTGTGTTTGATAATACAGTATGTAAGATGTACTCTTTAAAATATGATGCTAAAAGGGAAGCGTTTAAACCCAAAAAAAGAAACAGTTGTTTTAGCTATTCACTGTCTTAGATCATGGTGTTAATACTACAAACGTTTTGCCACAAATTGCAATTTTTGCCTTTGAAAGGTCAGTTGAAGAGTGGTTCTTGCTGTTGGTTAGACAATTGGCAATCCCTCTTACCTTTTCATGTATGCAAGTTGTTGAACTAGTCAAAAGAAAACATCTAATAGAAACTTTTTACGTGGATGCTTTTTTTTTTTTATTCCACTGATTTCTACTGCCACATACAATAGGATCGAGGGGCTGCCAGAGGTCTATTGAGCTAAATAAGTTAAATATCGAGCCTAAGATTTGACGAACATTTAGATGGCTTTTCAATCCGGCACTGTAAATTGTTAATTCACTGAACCAGTTGTCACATATTTTTTTATTCTAAGTGCTGAGAATGTTAGCCCTGAATAGTTCAATACTAATGTAAAATTTCCTTTTTCTGTTTTCCCATACTCTTGGGGAAAAAGTGCCTGCTGCTTTTTTTATTTTTTTTATTTTTTGTGGTTTGTTTGCTTACTTGTGTATACTAAACTTTCTTCACTGTAATTCAGTTCATGTACTCCTACAGTAATTGTTACTCTATTTCGAATGATAGCCTGTGTGTACTTGATTCGTGTTACGCAGAGCTTTTAACTGTTGTAACGTATTTCAGTTGGCTTAGGCCCTGTTTACAAGCAGGTAGGGTAACCCTTGTGCTAGCGTTACCCTGGCAGGAGGGTTACCCTAGCGCTCCCACATTTTTTTTTTTCATCGACGTGTTTACAAGGAAGCTGGGGTTACCCTAGCTGCCTTGTAAACGCTCTCCTGGGGATAACTCGCCTACCCGGGACAACTTTTTACTCGTTTCCAGACCCTTTGAACATTGATAACGATGCGTGCGGTTACCAAGCATAGGTAAGTTTTCCCGAGTGGTAGGGTAACCCTACCTGTGAAATTTTGCTTGTAAACCCGGGCTATCTTTGTCCCGCCTGTTAGGGTAACCTTGCACAAGGGTTACCCTCCTTTGCTTGTAAACAGGGCCTTAGGCACTACATTGATCTTAAACTAATTTTTCATCTCCTTCCGATGAAGTTATAAAAGTATTTTGTACATATAAAAATATATAATAAAATATCTGACAACCAATGAAGTGTGTTGCGAGCGACCATAGCAATGAGAATGTGCCAGCTTTGAAGATCTAAGCAGGGGTGAAGGAGACTCGTAAAGGAGAGGTTTAAAATGGCTTTTACAGAAACGGCAAAAAAATTAACCCTTATCTTACTTGCACTTTAATTCGCAATTAAATCCGTTGGAAAGAGCAAAAAAACCTCTAGGTTACTGCTAGTGCTAATAATCACACCAATGGTGTAGCTCCATTAAACCACTCAACCTACAATTCCTCTATTATCTCTGACGAAGGGCTAACGGTCGAAGCGTTAGCTTTAATAGGGAGTTTAAGCAAATCACTACGGCTGGCGCTGCTACGGCTATCGTGGTTGACGAGGCTTGGGGAGAGTACGTCGCCCTAGCCCGCCAAAATTCAACTTTAAGCAACGCGAACTACTAACCCAGTACGGCTGAGAAGTTAAGCGTCTTCGCGGTAGTTTTTGCACGTCTAAAAACTCAAAATGACTTCGTTCAAAGGGACGAGGGATTCCAACGTTTGTAAAAAAAAATTGTAAGCGATCCTGTGCACAGTGAATGAGTGAATTCAAACAATTAAGCTTACGTATTGTAAAATTGCCAGTTTGGAGCTTATAAATACCAAAGCAAAGTTTCTACACGGTCCCTCGTACCCCTCGTCATTCCTCGGCTTCAGCTATTTGAATTTCAAGTAGTCTTTGAGGTTTTAAAGGAAAAGTTAGACTTTCTACTAACGCTTTTCTCCTTGCGTTCGCTGCGTTCTCCATGTGCACACTGCTTCGATCCTTCGACAAACCCGGCTGCAAAAATAAAGGCAGATTCACTCGGTAAGGGGCAGCAAGCTTGATAAATATTCCCGATAAGCTATTTTTAAAGATGTAAAGTGTATTTCAATAGTTAAAATTGCTCAGGAGATTGAATACAGCGAAGAAAGAAGCGAGATAAGTTCACGTACCACAGACTACGCCGAAACCTTCCCACTCGCGAAGAAGGATTTCCCGCTACGGCTGGATGGGTACCACTGACATGCGCATTGACTCGTTTCTGGACAACTTTACTTCCGGTAGCCGTAGCGGCGCCAGCCGTAGTGATTTGCTTAAACTCCCTAATAACTATGTGCGCCGGCCGATTTACACGATAAACTCAGTTGATAAAACCAAATTGTCAGGTTGCTGCGGTAGCGTCATTATTCTTCGAGAACACCCTTCTCTCGCTTAGCACTTGCAACTTGAGTTGATAACCGCCTTAACAAACGCAATTACAAGCATTTTGAGGCCATCAAATTTGAATTGTCTACAAATTTCTCCTAACTCAGTGCAATCTGAACTCGTGGGTGAGGTCAGTGGTGGCTCTGGACCTCTCAACCATTTACAGGGTGTCGCTGTTACCGCAGTTACTAACTTGAAGTTGGCATTTCGTTGCGGATTTCTACTTCTTTTATCTAAAATGTTAAAGTGAAAAATAAGCAACAATTGTGGTCTT